ACTTCCAGTACAATGTTTAATAAAAGTGGTGAAAATGTCCAATGTTGTCTTATTTCTGGTCTTAAGGAAAATGCTTTTAGCCTTTCACCCTTGTGTATCATGTTAGCTGTTCTCTCGTTCTTTTTTTAAAGTCCATATAATATTGTTTTCAGTCAAGTATCATAGTATTAACTGAATTCTGGTGATATACACAAAGCAGGCATGAGACATACACTGATTTATTATTTTCAGTTGTCATGGTATCCATTTACATATTCAATCACTTGCTGGTAGTGGACCACATCTACTTTTCCCTGTTTTATATTGCTCTGACATGGATCTGAGGCTCCAATGAGGACCCAACCTGATTATTTGAAATAATTTTTCCCTTGAGCAAAAACTAAAGCTGTGTTCTGGACTCTCATCTCTGTGCTTCACCCTATTGTAGCATCTGCTGCCTCAATTGCCCCACATTAACAGGTGCCTGGCAGCAAACAGACACTTGGTGGAGAAGATAAGAAGCCTCATCATTCTATATTCAGGATGGCCTACCAGTTTTTCCTTTCCACCCTTTCCTTCTCAAGAAAATAAATAATCTACCAAGATTAAGTGCTTCTTACTCTCACTTCCAGAGCAGGGATTAAAAATTCCCAATTGGTACCATATTTTTGCTTCTAAAATCCTAGGGTTTAACCTCTATAAACTCAGATTCTCCATCTGGTAAGCAAAGGAAGGATTTAAAAGGATGGAGTACAGTTTAACTGCTTTGAAAGTCCAGGAAAGAGGCAGTTAGTAAACAACACAGGGCAGTATACTTGTGTATGATCAATATTCAGTGTTCACTGGTATCTATGCCTCTATTTAAAAGGGCTTGAAATAGGTAAAATGGTTATTAAAATGTCAAAAATCCAAGTTCTTGTTTTAAATTATCATTATTCTTTAGTAGAGAAATTCAAGACAAGAATCAATGTTTGTTTGTTTATTATTTAAAATACTATCTTAGCCCTGGCTGGTATGGCTCCATGGACTGAGTGCTGGCCTGCAAATGAAAGGTCACTGGTTCAATTCCTGATTGGGGCACAGGCCTGGGTTTCTGCCTGGGTCTCCAGTAGGGGGCGTGCAAGGAACAACCACACATTGATGTTTCTCTCCCTCTCTTCCTCCCTTCCCCTGTCTAAACATAAATAAATAAAATATTTTAAAAAATAAAAATAAAATTTTTAAAAATAAAATATTATCTTAATAAATATCAATGTGCATGTGTGTGTATCTGTTGCATTTTTTCTTTGGGCAGGTAGTACCGCAAGGGAAGTCATTGTTAAGAAGTTTTCTACTCATAGCATAAACTGTTGCCAGATTTACACCAAAGGGGTTTTATTTATATTTCCCTTTCTTTTAAAGTGAATATAAAATAATCTTCAAATACAGAAAAAGTATAATTAAATGTACTTTTCCTACTTTGAAAAAAGATGTTTAAATAAACAGTAATTGTTTCATATCTTGAACTGAATACTGTGTGTGGATCCACCACAGTAAATCTGCCTTTGCTAAGAGAAAACACTTTCCCAATCTGTTGATATGTAGGTCATGGTTCCCAAGAAAGGATACAATATTTGATAAACAGTTGCATTTTTTTTCTCTGAAGAGCAGTTTTTGAGACACTTTTGTAGCTCTCACACAGTTGTCACTGGTTGTTGGACGGCTGGCAATGTGAAGGGACTGTGTGCCTGCAGTGGAAAATGACTGCAGAAAGTGGATGAACAGCATAAAAACCCACTTACATGTGAAATAATGAAACTAGTACATTTTTTTACCAGCAAACCATGTACAGCAAAACATTTAAGAAATTAAAAATGCAGAACTAAAGGAAAAAGGACTGAGTTAACTTTCACCTTTATCAATGTAACCTGGACTATTTTCATACATGTATTTTTCATAGTATAAGATGCACTTCTCCCTCCCCCCAAATTTGGGAGGAAAAGGGGAATGACTCTTATAATCCAAATGTAGCTTACCTGGCTTGCTGTGGGTGGGGGTGGCAGTGGAGTGGGGTCACAGGTCATTAAATATTTTACCACATTTTTTTGGAATTTTTGAATTTTGAATTTTTTAATTTTTTTATTTTAATTGTTGTTCAAGTACAGTTTTCTGCCTTTTCCCCCATCCCAGCCCACCCCCCAGCCCTCCCCACCTCCTTCCTGTTTCCACTCCTCCCCCTTACTATTGTCCATGTGTCCTTTATACTTATTCCTGCAAACCCTTCACCCTTTTCCCCTGAAATTCCCTCCCCTCTCCTCTCTGGTCACTGTCAGCCTGTTCTCTATTTCAGTGTCTTTGGTTATATTTTGCTTGTTTGTTTGTTTTGTTGATTAGGTTCCTGTTAAAGGTGAGATCATATGGTATTTGTCTTTTACCGCCTGGCTTATTTCGCTTAGCGTAATGCTTTCCAGTTCCATCCATGCTATCTTGAAGGGTAGGAGCTCCTTCTTTCTCTGCTGCATACAATTCCATTGTATTTTACCACATTTTTTGTTTCAAAAATGTTTTTCCTATTTTCCTTTTCTAAAACCTAGGTGTGTCTTATAGTCCTAAAAATACGGTATATGAAAATAGTCCAGGTTAAACAAAACCATCCTTTGGGAGAGCTTAGAGGCAGAACTATTTTCCTTTGAATAGATTTAAATGATATTTATAATCTTTAAAGACTATGAACCTTAAAGACATATTTTTCTTAAAATATAATTGACAGAATAATATAAAAAGTTGATAATGCATTAATTAGATAATACTTCATCTGATGGAACCATATTTGCCATTTTAAAAACATCTTGTTCATTAAGTCAACATTAATATATGATTCTCTTGGTGTACATTATGTGCTAAAAATGAGAAAACACATGTTTTCAGGAAGAATAAAGCCATGACTGTGACAACATTGTAAAGGAGCTACATATATTATCACTGAGGCTTCTGGGCATAAGAATGGAGCTATATGACATCAAAGCAACTTTTTGAAAAAGCTTTAACATCATCCATGAAGCCATTGTTCTGTCTTTATCAGGAATCTAGAACCTGCAATACATAAAATGATTTTGCTCTTTGGCAGATTTTTAAATGGGCATGCTTGGCACCTTCCAACATTGTCTAATAACAGTCTTCCCAGAACTGCCAACTCTAATATCTGGTGACCATGGTTGGAAGAATGGTAATGCCTTCTTTTCATCCAGCTTCTAGAAAAAGCATCCTCTTATATCACTGAGATAAATGTGTCAGACCTCTGTGTTATGAAAATCAAACCTAACTCTTCATCCTCACTTTTAAGACTCTCTGTTAACTGATCTTTCTATAAAACAGCTTCAACTCAATTCAAGCCAAACCTATGCAAACATGTATTGTACATCTATTATATGACAAGACTATGTTCAAGAAAAATATCAGTTAGGATCTTTATCTTCATGGATCTTGCTGCTTAAGAAATGGTTTAAATAGACAGAAGATTACTCGATGGAATACAACGTGTTCTATGTAACATTGCATGAGTGTGGGGCCCAGTAGTGGAAAAAAACGAAGTCCGAGTCAAAGGAGACTTAAAGGAAAAGAGTTATTTGAGCTGAATCTTGCAAGATGACTTCCTTATAGCCAAATAGCTTTCCTAGTAGTGGGATAGCATGTACAGAAGCTCGGTGGGGTGAAATTGCAAGGATCTCCCTTGTTGTTCTCTTTGCTTTGACTTTCATTTGCTTATATTCAACTGTTACTTTTCTCCCTCACCTCATGGTAGTCTTCCCATCTAAACCATTTTGCACTCTCCTTTCTTCCAATCCACAGCCACCAACTATTTCAAAAAATGTTGAACTTAATGCAAAACAGCTTCCTCATTTAGGAGGAAACCATCTATCATTAATTCCATAACTCTAATTATTTAAAAATAACTCTATTGATGTTCTATTTTATAATGAAAATATATGTGTATATTGCCAAAAGAAATTTAAAAAATACAGAAAAAACAAACATGAAAATAAAGGTCATGTACAAACACATAATTAGAAATAATAGCTATCAACATTTTATTGTGCATATTTCCTCCATGCATATAGGTATTATTTCTTGAACAAAGATTTTAACGTACAATACATAATTCTTGGGAATCTAATTTTTCACTTTATATGGCATGTACATATTTCTATATCCAGAGTCACTTTGTCACAATTTTTGTAGTTACATTGTATTCTATTATGTATATTTGCCATAACTTATTTAACAAATTCTTAATTATAAATATTTTTATTATCTTCCATTTTTAATGTGTAGTTTTATCACAGCTGATTCACTTATTTCATCTCAATATTACATGGCAGTTTACATTTGTTGATGTGTGTGTTTTAGATCTTCAACTAAGTCTAAAGCAGCTTAGAGGCAAGGCCAGTTCTTTCTTGTCTTTTGTTACTTTTTAATGGGTCAGTGAGAGAATTATCCACATAGTAAGTGCTCACATGGCTACTCAGGGGGGTTGGCACAATCTGCTAGGATGACAGCCTAATGGAGAGCTGTTTAAAGGTGACCTGATGATTGGGAAGAAGGGTCGGAGGTTGTGGGGTATCTGCTAGGTCAACTGACATTCCAGGAAAGTTCTGGTCTACTCAGCAAAAAGCTTTAGGGAAAGTTGCTAAAATTGTAACTTATTTATGAACTTGCTGGTGTTTTCTCAAGTGAGGAGAGTGGTGGAAAGGAGAGGTCATGGGGTCTGTGTGAGCCAGAATGAGAATTATTACATACCTGGTGAGTTGAGTTGTGCCCATGCTTCTACGGCTCCTGCTGATTCTTGCTCTGCCCAGGGTTTACCTCCAAGCTGAACCTCCCTTTTCTCTTTTCCAATTCTTTATTTTCTTTTTCAATCATTTCCTACAATCAAAATTTAAATACAGTTGCGTGTTATTGTGACTATAAAGTTTATGCCTCCTCTGCACGCCAACTAATCATTATATTGACCCAAATTGGCCCAATTCTTTTTGTTCCTGTAGGTCAAACCAGTTTTCCCTGGAAGTGTGGAGTGACCACGAAAGGCAAAAGTAAACTACCTGTCCTGTTGATAAAACTGTAAACAAGAAATAAGTGAATAGAAAAGGCAAATTTTACCAAATTTCTTTGTGAAGAGTCAGGTGCTGATTTATTTTGTGGAACAGCCAAATACTATGTAAGGTAAGTAGTAGGTACAAGGAAGGGTCCGATTCAACAATATGAATTTAGAAATTGCTATTATAATAATGTTATCAACATTGCTTATTTATTTTGGCAAATTTCATCTTAGAATAAAAGTGTTGTTAGTGTAAAAATGATTCTTCATTTTGTTTCCATTGGAATATGATTAATGTTTTAATTTGTTGTTAATGAGACAGCAGTTTTATAATCCAGGTGTTCAGAAATCCACTATTTAATTTCTGAAAGGACATGAAATAACATTAGTGTTATACTCCTCCTTCATCCTGCCATAGCATGTGTCCTGAGCCCCAGGCTCCCATGGTGTCTTTATGTTGTCCTGCTGAACTGAGTGAGAGTGGGTATCATTTTATTAAAACCACAGTTCTGAAATCTTTACCACAGATTTATAAGGGGGCTCTTTCTTCCTTCTGACTTACATAGCTTTAAAAAAGGTTATCTTTCTTCTGAAACTTAGAATTGTTTCAAATAATGGCAAGAAGTAGTGGCCACAGTTCTTTATCTGTTGTTGCTTTTGTCACTGAATTTTCAGACAATTCCAGAATTTAGGAGTGAATGAACAGGAGGACCAAGCTTGGCAGGGAGCTCCAAAAACCATCTCTTAATAGTCCATCAACTTGTTACTGGGATGGTACGAGGCAGAGAAGGGAAATTGTCTGAAGGACTTCCTGTTCTCATTTCCTTGTCATGAATAAAAACCACAGTCTAGATATGGCTTCTCCTCTTGGTCATTTACTTTTTATAATCCTACCAGTGATTGTAGTACACACTGAATAATGGCTATTTTACAGCAAGCAGAGGAATTTGGGTTAGTAATTGGGAAGTATCTGGGCACTAATAGAACAAATAAATATATTGGAACAAAATTTTCAGAGATAAGGGAAAAGAAAATATAAGAGGTGGGGACAGGAACCCAGGCCTCACATTTAGGAGTGTAAGTACAAGGAGGAAAAAAATATTAGAGAAGGAACTTTGAACCAACGAGCTTTATTAATGACAATTCAGTCATGATAACTCTAGAACATTACATAAATATTAACTAGATCAACACATAGAATTTCCACTATATTCACATTTTTAACACAGAATATAATGATCTGGGTGGGAGATTGGACTAGAAATTATCTAGGTCCCTTCCAAATGTAAATTTCTGTGATATCATGGCATTTTTACATCAGTGTGCATGTTATTCCCTCTGGATTTGCAATCTCCAATTAACTTTGCAATTATAGTTTTAGTAAAATGATTCACTGGTCTTGCTTCTCAATGCCTAATACCACTTTAGTACACGCAGTAAAGAGATTAACCAACACCTTGGTGATGAAGGTACTTGGTCTATCTCAATAATACTAATATTTCATCTTTCAAGAGATTCAGCACTTATTTTAAAGCACCTCATTTGCTTTGTGCATGCCTTGTACATTGCCATCTAACACAGGAGTCTCATCTACAACTTGGAAAATATTTATATTCATGTAGTGGCTGTGTTTTTGAAATATAAAGTATGGCTATAAATTATCAATTCTGATTTCCATGAGTCATCCAAGAAAACTAGTCTCATTTTGCAATAGTCTTATTGCACAGATAAATTCTGGTTATCTACATTTTTATTGACTTTTTTCTGGGAACTGGAGTCTATATAGTTCCAAAAAGAATCTGCAACAGTTCACCTCATATACAACAGTGCACTGTCAAACTCAATCTTTCAATTAAAGAATGGAAATAAATAGCCAGTTCCCTTATAACTACATTACCTGAAGTTTGCAATTTGGGGGAGTATTTGCATTCACTCATTCATCTCTTCAAATACCTACAATACTTAAACCCAGAGGAGGCTTGACTCCATTGTATTATCATTCATCCATTATCTACCAATTTGTCCTATGTCCTTCTATTTCCTCTGGAGATTTAAATCTTTATAGTAATTGTTATATATATTTATTTATTCTGACCAACAAGTTCTAGAGAAGTATACTCTGCAAATATGGGTTACTTTAAGAAAGTAGTAAAATGAATATCTCTTTCACCATATGAAAAGCCATGCCAAAAGTGATGGTGTTGATGAAATGGTAGGGATTGGAAATAGACTAACACTGGTTTCCAAATCTTGGTGTGCAAAACAATCTTCTGTATACTTGCTTAAAATACAGACATCTGGTAGCCACCTTGAGTTGTTCCACTTCAGGTGATTCAAATGCAGTGATTCAAGGGCCACATTTTAAAAAATACTGGTCTAATCAATGGTAAGTATAATAATAAATTTAAAAAGGAAACACTGTGCATATGGAATTTCATTGAGCCTATAGGTAAAGGTAGATAATTCAAGAAAGGTTTTTTGGAGAGTTATTTGTACAGAAATTTTAGGAGCTTACACACTAGGAATGAGAATGAATTGGGGAGGGAACACAGTGGAGATAGATATTCATGATGATGATATGACAGCTTGTAGTAGCTACCATGTACTGAACTGTGACCAGACACTGTGAAATGGCTTCACATTTAGATATACATCATTTAATTTTCTCAGTCCTGAGAGGCATCATCTTAAAATGAAGGACTGAGTGAAATTAGTAGTTGTGATAGGCAGAGGAAATGTAGATGAAGAACTGTAAGAGAGTAAAAGAAGTCAATCAGATATAGAGATTAATAATCTATATCAATATCTCTGCCTCTAAGTATACATATAAACTCACTTTCAGAAGTCTAAGCACTAATCACTAAATACTAGTGTTAATATATATGCTATATTTTCAAACTTTGAATCAAGCCAGGGAGGTTTGGAGAGAGAAATTGTCAACAAATAAATGCAGAAAAACCAAGATGAGCAGGGTAAACTGGTTCCCCAAATACAGACTCTCAGGAGTGAAAGGAGGAGCAGAGTCACTCAGCCAAGTTTCACTTTGGAGAACTCCCAGTATAGTGTAACCACCACGGCAGGTTTGGCACTAATGTGTACCACAGCCAGCAAAGGGGAGGGTGGAGCACATTTTCTGACAATGAAAACTCTTCACAGAGTTGGGTCAGAACAACATGAGCTCACTCCCTAACAAAGATCTAAAAATTCAACAAAATTATAAGTCATGAAAAACATATTGTTAATTCTCACATTTTATTTTAAAACTGAAGTTACATAAAACATATCCTTTTATGAGCTATGTAGCTTCTGTAATTAGGCCATGTGAAGATAAAATCAAAAGGTATAAAGTTTCAGTTGTGCAAGAGGAATAAATTCTAGCGATCTATGGGTAAAGTACAGCATAGAGCCCTTAGTTAATAACACTGTATTGAATACTTAAAATTTTGCTAAGAGGGTAGATCTTAAGTGTTTTTATCAAAGATAAGAAGTGGACAAATGAATGAATGAATAAATAAATAAAGCAGGAAGAAATATTTGAAGGTGATGGTTTCAAGGATGTATATTTATCACCAAACTCATAAAGTTGTATATATTAAATACATACAGAAAAAAAAATCAGCTGCTCTGGGGAAAATGTGACATAATCTGCAAGATTCTCTAAGAAACTCTTGGATCCCAGCTCTGGAGAAGTGATGAGTTCTGCATCCTAATCTGTCCTCAGCTCTACCATTGACTGGGTAAGTCTAGTGCAGTCTTTTCCTTTTCAGCTTTCCTGACTGTCGATGCAATGAGCAGCTAGAACTGATTGGTCTATGGAGTCCTGTTGAACTCCAACAACCCATGCTTCTAATTCATTCATTCTTTCATTAACTCGTTCGTTCATTTGCAGATATTGGTGGCATGCCCATGGCTTTCTGAGCACTCTCTTCAGCCAGCATACTTTGACACTAGTATCTGTCAGTCAGAATACCTCTTATCTGCTATTCTCTTTTCATTTCTGACTACTCCAGATCAGGTGGTCTGTGAGGTCACCTGTATTTTTATACTTGCTCAGTGTGGGCAGGAAATGGCTCTGACAGCTACCCAGAAATTCTGGTTGAGTCTAGTCCCCTCATGTGCCCAGGTGCTTTGTAAGGCTCAAGCAAAATTTTTCCCAGTTAGGTCATTCCCTCTGGTCTCTCCTCTATTTGACCCTTGTTGCCTGTGGATTTCAGAATCATATTTGTACGTGTGATATTTGCTCATGTTCTCAGACAGAATGCTCTCCTTAGTGGCTTTGAGGAGAAGAGGCCCCTTTACTGGCCTGTGGTTTTGCAGAAGAGTGAATCACTTAGCAATTTTATTATTAAATTTAGATTCTCTACAGTATAAACTATGCAGCTAGTTTTCCTATTTATCTAATATTTAAAGTCCATGAATATTTTAAAATTTTTGTTCTTAATTATGCAGATTTTATTTGTATAGGTGCAAACCATGGAAGTAGCCAGTAAAGCATGCTTCCTGCTTTGTTAAGCTGTATACAGTTAACTGACATTACCTAGAAACATCTGTTTATCATAACATAATTTAGAATTTCACTTTGTTTCCACAGTCACATTTAATGTCATGAAATGAAAATATATTGAATGTTTCCTTTACTCCTTTTTATCTTATTAAGTATTAATTTCTAATGATAATTTTCAACTTTTTTCATCTTGTGGCACACATAAACTAATTACTAAAATTCTGCAGCACAACAAAAATATATTTTTTGCCAATCTGACAAAAAATGAGTATAATTTTTATTCATTTGCAACAACAACAATAATAGTAGTGGTAATTACCTACCCTTTTTGTTCCAGGGAGATTTTTTTTAAAAATCAGGTACCTATACTTGTGTGTAAGGATTTCTGATACAAAGAATTGACCAATCAGATGTATGTTTATTATGTGATGGGAACAATAAGATGCAATGGTGTTAGATGACCTATGTATTTGTGACTCAAGATAGAGCATCACATCAGACAACTATTGTTATGTTGGCTGTTGTCACTGTTTTTAATTGACAAGCTAAGGAAAAAGAGGTCAGTGTCCCTGACTAAATAGTAAGGTACTGCAGATTTTAAAAATTCTTGTGACACTCCGGTTGAGAATCAGGGATTTACAATAAAAGTAAAATGATTTTTGGTATTCCTAAATTTTCCACAACAAACATGAACTACTGGTACAAAAAGGAAGGGAAGAAGGAAGGAAAAAAGAAAACATACAACCAAAGAATTTCTAGTTTAACTCTTTTTTGTTTAGTGTTATTATTGAAAAGAATAAAGCTTACTTACCAGTGACTTTTCTAGCTTAATAAGGGATCCTAGGAATTTTAGTTTTGGATGAAGACAATAAGCATAAAATTCAAGATTCATGTGAATTTTTCCTAGAATACAAATACACATATAGAATTCAGCCAGTCTGGCAGCAAAGTGTAGCACAGAAGGATGTTTTACATAGGAAACCATCAGTGCTCTGCATTTGAGGGTGCTGAAGACATAAGGGTTGTAGTATCATGTCATAGGTCCATCTTTGAGTGAATTTGATTTCTCTGTAGGTCATACACACACTCTAAACATAATTATTATCATGCTTCAACTTTTAAAAAAATAAACATTGTATTTGGAATAATTCTAAGCATACAAAAAAGTTGCAAAATTAGAACAGAGAGTTCTGTGTACTTGTTACTCAGTTTCTCTAGATATTAACATCTTACATAACTATGGTAGACTTGTGATGATTAAGAACTTAACTTTTTGATATTACTGTTAACTAAACTGCAGACTTCATTTGGATCTCACCAGTTTTCCTACTGGTTCTTCCTTTTACAGGATCCAATCTAGATTACCATATTGCATCTAGAACTCCAACTTTTGAGAAAGTTTAAGTCCAGAGTTAGAGCTAGAAAGAGCTCAGACCTAATGGATGGCAAGATTTAGAATCAGGAAGAGAAATTGAAATGGCACAAATGTCAGCCTTGGAAAAACCTCGACTTAAAAGATGTAGCCATCACTTTGTTTTACTTCAAGCAAGTGATATTTCTGATCTTACTGTCAGGTCATGTGGTATTTTGCTTTATTATCAGAATTTAACAGGAGTTCTTTTAGTGTTTTTTTTTCTTTTTTATTGACTTTATTTGGATGTCATGAGTTAAAATATATATGTAGGCTTCAGGTGTACAGTTCTATAACACATCATCTATACATTGTATCGTGTGTTCACCACCATGAGTCAAGGCTCCTTCCATCACCATTTATCCTTTCTATATACTCTTTTATCTCCCCAAACCCTCCTTTCGTTCTGGTAATCAGTATACTCTCGTCTCTGTCTATGAGTTGTTTTTTTTGTTTTGTTTTGCTTCATACCTTCACCTTTTTCATCCAACCCTGAAACCTCCCTCCCCTTTAACAGCTAACAAGGGTTCTTATAAGTCAAATATATTGAAAACCTGTTAACAAGGATAACTCCAAACTTAAGTGAAGGCCAATATCCCAGAGATGTAGCAGTATCATCTAAGTGAAAATGTGTACATAGTACTCTCGGATATTGTTATCACCAGATATGGATAGTACTGTGTGTATCTTATCTTCTTCCAATTTAGCCCTTATCCCCTGACCTGTAGCTACAGTAAGCATCACATTGTTTCTTTAATTCATTCGTTCATTCAAAAAAGCGGGAATTGAGGATTAGTTCGTGCTAAGCACTGGGCTGAGCTGCATGGATCCAGCAGTCTTTTGGTTGAACCTAGGAAAGATAACCAGGCTTTGTCGTACAGTGGATAGTTGCTAATGGAGGTATCCCTAGAGTGCTGAGAAAGAAGCATAGAAGACATGAATGAGGCAGGGGAAACTCTGGCAAAAGGCATGAAAGCACAAGGTTACATGTTCTTTTGAGTGTTCATGCCCTGCCTGGGAGCCAGGACAAGAACTGAAAATGGATGTGTAGGCAAGATGTATTTGTTAGAATGACAAAGGCCTCAGTTGGATGTTAGCCAAAGGGTCTAAATTCATCATGAAGAGGATGGGACACTAATGATCAGATTTTGCTTTGGAACGATTGGTGCAGAGAGGAAAGAATTTGAGGCAGGGAAACCAGAGGAAGTTTGGGGGGAACTATGGTTTATTCAAGATACCAAAAAGACATTCTTCCTCTTTTTTACTTGACCAACAAGTAAATCACCCTGTTAGGAGCAAGTTGAAATACTCTTTTTCTGAAAAGCCTTTCTTTTCTACTCCTAAGACATACCTAGTCACCCCCATTGTTCTTTGTTCATAGCTCAGTTAACATTATTTATTATTAATTGTTGTAAGTACTGTTTTTCATGTCTGTTTCCCTACTACAGTGAGCTTCTCTAGGTCACAGCTTGTGCCTTATTCATCTTGGCATCTTCAGCATTTAGGATAGTGCCTGACACAGGGTATCTGCTTAAATTTTCAACAGTGAGAGACAAAATGAGCATCTTCCAATCATGGATGGAATGCATGAGAAAGCTAATCTTTCCCCCAAAACTGAATATTCACTATTATTCAAATTAATTTTTTAAAAATTCCATGAATGATCATTTAATTATTTCAATTGAGGAAACAAGAAAATGAGGCTCAATTAAAGAAGAAATTGTAAATCTTTAAGCAATTGATATAGATTAGAATTGCTTGGTCATGATTAGACAATCAAAATTTGTGAGTTAGCAGGTAAAAATGAGAAATGTTTATGGATAAAAACTTGTTGCAGAATGTAAATAACAATGATGTTGTGTGACTTACCTCAACTATATTATGTGGATAGAAATTTCTTTAGTTCTGAGGGTTATCAATCAGAATAAGCAAAATCTCTGATGCTTCTGGGTGTTAACTCAATTTAGTTTATTTGGATTTTTGTTGCCTAACTTGTAGTCACTTGAACTAGGGGTCACAAAAGCAAATGGCTATAGGGGCCAGGCAAGTAGCAGAAGTGAACAAAGACAACTGGTATGATAAACCAGGACACTGGAAAAACTTGTGAACTAGAATCATGCCTGACATTATCTCAAAGTGACAGCCCTTATTCTGATTCAACAGATTGCGATGTGGAGAAACTTGGGGTCAATATGCCCTAATATCTAATTTTTAAAAAGATTTTATTTATTTATTTTTAGAGGGGAAGGGAAGGCGAAAGAGAGAGAAAGAAACATCAATGTGTGATTGCCTCTCGAGCACCCCCTACCAGGGACATGGCTCGCAACCCAGGCATGTACCCTGACTGGGAATCGAACCAGTGACCCCTTTCTTTGCAGGCAGGCCCTCAATCCACTGAGCTGCACCAGCCAGGGCATAATTTTTTTTATGAGAAGTCAAATATCTCAGTTTTTTATGGAAACTATTTTTATACTGACATAAATTTTAAAATAACTCATCTATATGGGTGTATCCTCTCTCAGCATTAACAGCTTAGGTTGTTTTGGACTAGCTGAGGGAAGCTAGAGGAACAAGACTAAATATTTTTTTAAAGATTTATTTATTTATTTTTAGAGAGGGAAGGGAGGGTGAAAGAGGGAGAGAGAGAAACATCAATGTGCGGTTACTGGGGGCCATGGCCTGCAACCCAGGCATGTGCCCTGACTGGGAATTGAACCTGCGATACTTTGGTTCGCAGCCCGCACTCAATCCACTGAGCTACACCAGCCAGGGCTTGGACTAAATATTAAAAAAAAAAAAAAAAGTAAAACCATGCAAAGTCA